TAAACGAACCGGGTCCCCCCGCCCAAAAAAAAAAAAAAAAAAGTGAGAAATCATTTCCCTGGGGTCCAAAAAAAAAAAAAAAGTGTGAAATCATTTCCCCGGGGGATGGTCATGCCCCAATCCCTTCTTTCCCATTCTCCTCTCAGGATTTAGGGCACGCAAGCACATGTACCCAGTGTGATTTTCAAGCTGCTGAGTCTGGGACTCAAATAGTGATCAGCCACATGGGAGTCCAACATCTTATCCACCACACTATCGGCCGGCCCGAAGAAATGCTTGCTTTAAATTTGACTATTACTATGATATTAACAGTAAGTTTTCTGGAGATAGTCCATCTCATTAAAAAAGTATTTCTTTCTACCCCTACTTGTGCCAAATGCTTGTTACCATGGTTAGAAGCTGCCTTTAATTGAATGCTATAGTTTTGAACATGTATCTAGTCTACAGATGCAGAAAATTATAAATATTTTTCTGATACTTGATACAACCTTACATTCCTGGGATAAAGATAGTAACCCAGGACTTTTCACTGGAAGAACAGAAGAGCTTAGGTGACAACAGAATGGAAACTATCCACTTTAAGCTATACAATACCAGTCCTATTTGTTTACCTCGAGGCCCTTCTACACGGCATTGGCCCTGACTCAACCATGCCTCCTCTGAGCACTTTGAGCACTTCCTGTTGATGATGTTCATTTGATACCTGGCACGTGCCACTCTGTGTTCTGTCTACTGATTAGAAGATAAGCCCCTTGGGACCAGCAATTAGCATAATGGCTATGTTGCTGGACTCCCATGTAGTCGACCGCAGTTCGAGTCCTGGACCCAGTGGCTTAAATTCACACCGGGTGCGTGTGCGTGTGTGCCAAAGATCCCAAAAGGAGAATAGAGGAAAAGGGATTGCGGCGTGGCCATCCCCCCTGGGAGGTGATTTCTCGCTTTCTGTCTCTCTCTGTCTTCCTGGCGAGCGCATGCGCCCGTCAAAAAAAAAAAAAAAAAAAGAAGCAGCAGAAGAAGGTAAGCCCCTCAAAGAGCACCAACCAGTAAGCAACAAATGTTTGCTTAAAATGCTTGAAATATCTCTGTGGATAGGATGGTGGAACAAGAGCTGGATAATAATGCAGCATACATAGAAAATGAGTCTTCTAGACGTAGGAATTTTCTAGAGAGCCACAATTTTAATTTCCTAACACTCACTGAAATTTTAATATCATTCCAAATTGTACTCCACACCTCCCTGCTTTGTCAACAGAGTATTCTGATCAGGCCTTATGCATTTCTTGACAATAAGCATAATTTAGCTTTTTCTTGTGGAAAGCAGCCACTCGGTAGGAACAGCAGAGATACAGCTGTGAGTACCTAATGTGTGGGATGCAGAACCTCAGCTGTGGCTGTGAAGGAGGCTTTAATAGCCGGTGAAAAAAAAAAAAAGCAGCCATGTTTTTTTGCCTTCGGCTTTGACCTCTAGTTAACTCAGCAGCAATTCAGGCTTCTCCTCCTCCTCTCTCCTCCACTCCCACCCCAGAACACAACAATGCAGAGCTGTGGCATTGTGATACCTTGAAAAGTTACCATTTCTACCATTACAGCCTTCCACTCTGTTTTCCCACTGTAGCTCTCTTCTCTGTGCCTACTACTAGCTGACCTCATCATCAGTTCTAATCTCTAGATTAGAGGGGACACAGCATGTAGTGCATGTCAGAGAAGAAACTCTGGAGCCAGGCTTCCTGGGTTCAAATCCCAGTATGGCATTTAGAGTGGAAGTCCTAATGACAAGTTCATTAGCTTTGCTATTTCTCAGTTTTCTCATCCACATCACAAAATAAGTATGTATCTACCTCACAGGATTCTCATGAGAACTAAACGAGTTTATATTTTATTTCCAGAGGGGCACCTGGGCTGCCACGGAGAGACAGAGGAAGAAAGCACCTTTCAATGGGGCACGGTCATGCCACGATCCCTTTTCCTCTATTTCTCTGTCCTGTCAGGATTTGGGGCACCCACACATATACATGCACCCAGCATGGTTTTTTGTTTTTGTTTTTCAAGCTACTTGGGTAGGGATTCCAATCGGCTCAATCATGTGGGATCTGGTCTCCCTTAATCACTGGGCTACGGAGCCAGACCTAAACTGAGTTAATATTTACAAAATGGTTAGAAGAGAACATGAAAATGACTTATCATACAGTAAGCATTACAGAGGTATTATTAAATAAATGGATAAAATCCTATCGACTTGAACTTAGCTCTCTGTCTCGTAAAACTATTCCAACATTTCTCACTTGGAGTTGTGGCTGTCTGGTGGTAGTGGGAGTCTTGCAGGGAGAAGGGACAGTGCAGACATGCCCAAAAACCCCAGCACTCCTTCTCTCTGATCAGAGCTCTATTAGACACAGACGGGAACAGGAAGGGGGGAGTGTCAGATATTTTCATCACTGCTCTGCCAGCCAAATGAAACAGGTGAAGAAAATGAAGCAGTTTATTTCATCAGCAGAAGAGGAATCCAGGGACATGTGTGACTGCATTTTCAAATATAATATTTGCTGAGCTGAGCCGGGGAAGAGGGAGCCTTTAAAATTCTATGGGGCACCTACAGGCTCCTCATCACTGCACATGTTTAAGAGGAATGTCCGTGGCCAGGTGTCAAGGATGCTCTAAGAAGGAATTTTTCCATTTAGAGGCAGATAACCTTTAATATTTCTTCTACCGCTAAAAGCCTGGCAATCCTCGAATGAGTCACCAAGATGTTAGAAGCCAGGTGTGAGTCACACATCGCCAACGCGCTCCCGAAGGCAGACAATTCTTCTCTCACCTCAGTGCTTGGCATTGTACCACAGATCTAGGAGAGGAATTCCAGCCCTCAGGCTGCGGATATATCAGCTCGGAGGAACAAAAACTTTTCTAAAACTTGGCGCATCAGTGAGCCGATTCTAGGCTTCTGTTATAACCGACCAATACCAAAACGCGCACATCCCCGGCAGGACTCGGCAGAAAGGGGCATACGCGGGGATTAACTCCCAGACAGCGCTTCCAGTCCTGCGGCCAGGAAGGTGGACAATGCAGACTGAAGTGAGCGGGCAGTAAGGGGAAGGGGCAGGGTGGCGGGGGGGGATGAGAGCTGGGCAAGCCGTCACACCGGCAGGGGACAGGGACAAAGGCCTCGGGGAGAGCACGCAGGACGAGGCTGGCAGGAAAGTCTCAGCCCAAGGGGACAACAGCCTGGGGTACACACTGGGCATGAGGACGGATGGTGGCAGTCAGTTGCCGAGCGGCAGCTAGCAGGGCCCCAAGTGCCAGCTGGGGGCCCCTCTACCTCGCAGAGCAGGGCTCGGCTATCCGCCCCGCCGCGGGGGGCCTCGCTCGGCCCAGGGCGCGTTCTGGGGGCCCAGGCCGGGCAGCGCACCTGCAAGGCTCCCCGCAGCCTCCCCGGCTGTTCAGGCCACCCCGCCTCGCCGCCGGACTTCGGAGCGCCGGGCGCCGGGTGTCCTGCAGCCTCCGCGAAGGCCAGTGCTCCTAGCCCCGTACAGACTGTGGGACGCCAGTGCCGCAGTGCCCGTGCGGAATGTGGGGCAGCGGCTGCCTCCCACGGCCCAGACCTG